GCAATGCATTGCTTAGGTAGCCATGAAAATCCACATTGTTTGAGTTACTTGGTGTTCAGCTATTCTTTTTGTATTTACATTTGTCCCCAATATAGCCTGCCCACACAGACATACAGTTACTCCCAGGTGAGCACTCTCTTCTGCTTGACACCTGCACTGATCATCAGAACTGATTCTGGCTATGAGGTTAATGTGAGTCTGCCCCTTAGAGATGGTTCCATTCTCACTGTACCACTAAAGCAAGTTTCAGATCGTCTGTGGCTGAAGTTTAGGCACTGTGCTGTGTGTGAGAACTTTGTGGGAAAGTATCCAGTTGCCCTTACCAGATCACGCCTCTCTGAATCAAGAGTATGCTAAGTAGAGCATTTGCATTTAAAGCCAGGACAGTACCTTCCCTTCTGGTGAGCTTTTCATTTGTGAACCATAAGTAAACCAAGACAGGTTGAGTTATTACTCTTCATACTTTAACAGTGAAAGTCCACAGCAGACTTCGTCATGTCACAGTCAGTGCACATGGTTGTGACTGTAGCCTAGTACATCACCCAAGTCGGTGCACTACTCTCAATCTTTGGCTAATGGTTTGTCCTGATTTCATTAAGTTTCCTAGAACTATGTTTTTATTTATTCTCTTACCCTCAAGGCTATTTAGTGGGAGATTTTTCTAAAATAAATAAAAACTTTTTTTTTTTTTTTTTTTTGTGGTTCTGGTTTTTGAACCTAGGGCACTTATGAGGCATGTGTTGAGACACACTTCCAGCCTTTTTCTCTCTGGTTATTTTGAAGATGGGTTCTTGTTTTCTCCTCAAGCCAGCCTGGACCCTGATCTCACTGGGATGACAGGCACAAGCCACCACGCTCAGTTTTTTCCATTGAGATGGGATCTGACAAACTTTTCTTTACTATGCTGAGGTTTAAAGTGTGAGGAAGGCAATTGCAGGGAGCACACAAATTGCTTAAGGACAGCTAGAGCATGAAGGATGGGGTGGGGAGGAGCTGGACCCTTAGGGAAGATCCAACACCTAATGGAGATTTTATGCAATGATGAGGAGTTTAAACATTAGTACAGGGGGGACGCAGTCTTTTTAACCAAGTGGGTAAATTTTGAGTGTTTCTCATTCCCTTGACTAATAAGGTATAAAGTAGATAGATGGTAGAGGATGAAGAAGGAGCAAACAAGAAACAAGGCATCCCAGAAAAAAATACTCTGGAGGACTGAGTCTGTGACAAAGATGAGGGGGCAGTGGCTATGAAGGCAGAGCTGAATATGAAAAGCAAGAGGTATGTGGGAGGTAGAATAAAAAGATACATTGTGATCACTGAAATCTTCTTGTGGATTCAACGCCTGCTGAGTGACCTTTTTCATAGAAAGAGTAGCAATCTTGCCTGCTGTTCTATGGCTGTTTCTATTTGAGAAACTGAACATTACAGGTTTTAATGCAAACTATCAGCAGTTGGGTGTCACCCACTGAGGGGATTATCCCCAAGATGCTGTGGCATTTGTCATTAGTTCTCAGGTTTTGATACTCAGGAGACCATTAACTCCTGGTTGACAATTCAGGTGAGCTGTTCTGCCAGATGCAGAAGTTGGAGGCAATGGGAGTAATGATTCAGAAACCAGGCTTGGCGTCAGCAAGGCCTGGGTTAGAAGCCCAGTTCTACTATTTGCTTCATCTCTCAGTTATCAGTTAGTTCAATGTCTATGAGGTAATTAGTGTATCTACTACTTAGGATGGTTATTTGGATTAAATGAGGTTCTTGCTAAAATTCGTGCATATGTTTTGGAATTAAGATTCCACCGTGGGTCTACTCTTCCTACTTTCTCTCCATATATAATATATGTACTGTTTTCATTATTATTTTTTAACTTATGACACAAGTTTGGTTTAACTTTCTTTAATCGCCCAAGAGGTATTTTATGAAGAATCTTTAAAAATCCAAGAAGAAAGGCATTCTGTAGTTTTACTTTATCATTTTTTATTCCATTATCATCAAAAGATGTTGTTTGTGTTCCCTCTACCTTATGGAATTTACTGCATTTTTCTTTGTGTCCTAAACTATGGTTACTTTTGTGTATGATCTATGGGGATTTGAAAATGACAATTATTTTCTATTATTGGAGTGGAAAGTTTGTGATGTATTCAGATCTACCTTATTATGTTGTTTAGGTCTCCTTTATCCTTATTTATCTTTTGTCCTTTACTTGCCTTGTTTTGGACTGAGAGTGGTGCCTGCTAAATCATCTGAGAATATTTCTGTGTATTTCTTCTTGAACTTTCTGCAGTTTCTGCATAAAGGTTGCTGTTTTGTTATTTGGGAAACATTCATAACTATTGAATGTTCTTTGCAAATGCTAATCTTCAGCATGAATCAGTCCATTTATTTTATGCTTTTCAACATAAAACTTTATCTTGTCTGTATCAAAATCAAAATCAGTGCATTTTGTTGTTAGTTTGTATTTGACTTGTATGCTTTTGCCAGACCCTATGACCCTCTCTTAAAAATCATAGCGTGTTATGTGTATCTCTTGTATTCAGCAGAGTTGTGTTTTGCCGGTTTTATGACTGGTATGCTATACTCTGCCCAGCATACAATTAGAATTCCATAAAATATTTGTTTCCTTTTTCTTTTCTTATTTTCCTCAACCAAAGGAAAGTCTCGCCTAGGCCCTTAATCTCCCTGTTAGCAGCAGTTTGGGACATGTCTGGACCTGAGGTCTCCTCCTGAGCCATCTGGCTTTGCTGGATCCTCGCTTTCAATTCTGCCCTGCTGGTTCTCACTCCACAGCTGAGCAGGCTTTTCCCTTCCCCTTTCCCACATGAGAGGCCCTGCAGATACTCATCAACAGCGGACTCAAACAGCACCAGTATAAACGTTAAAAAACCCATTCTCTACTGGCTTGACACACTGAATAAAGTTTCCAATATTTGAAATAAGGCCTGATGTTTCTGAAAATATTCTTTAAAATATACTTGACTGATCTGAAAGTAACATTATAGTATATAAATTTACTGATGGAAGGAATCATAGAAACTACTTGAACCTTTTCCCCAAGGTATTATTATTACTTCTAAGGTACTCCAGCAAGTTTTCCAGTCTCTGCATTTTCTAGAAAGGTTTGCCTGATATTGTCATTCATTCTGTAGGCAAGGGTTTGAAGACCAGCCAAGCCATATACTGGCTATGACGCTGGAATTTATGTAAGCACTCAGCCTCAATTATTTTATCTGGAGAATGGGGATGATGGTGGAAACTCAAAGAGGTGTAAAGAGTACTAAGTAGGTTGATAAAGTGACAGGTAATTAACTGAATCCCCAAGTATAGGTAATAGGAATGATGAGGAAAGTTCTTTCCTTTATCAAAGGAGAACTCTGAGGGATTCCTGAGGGTTAAAGCCCTGCATGAGGCAATGTGTACCCAATAATATCACTAGTTCTGCCAATTTTCCCAGAAAAGCAGAAATCTTGTTTATGTGGAATTTCCCAATTATTCCATATGGCAACTAATTCAAATTTCTTTAAAACATCAGCTAAACTATTTAAAAAATTCTGTGTTCTGGGTGCACTTGTATGTAGGCTGCCACTTTGCAGTCTCTAAATGTTTTGGCATAAAGCTTAACACAAAGCAAGCACTCAACAGACTAAACTTATCACATCTGAAACCTAGATGTCAGATTCCTGGGAGAAAGGACTTGTTGATAAGGTGTGTAACCAAGACATCAACTGCAGGCTCAGTAGATTAGCAAAAATAAAGTGAGAACAAAACAGAACAGAGTGGGAGTGGATCATGGAAGGACTCTACCTGCTGGTTCTGCCTGCTCTGACCCCTGTCTTGCTACTTGCTGGCTTTCTCATATGACCAGCCAATCTCTTTTCAGATGTAACTGACATAGGAGGTATTGGGGAGCTAGGCAGGGAGATCCTGCAGCTGGTGGGAGCTAGAGGACCCTAGCAGCTTCCTTATACTGAACTTACTGGCATTAGGACAAAAGAAAAACAAATAAAGACATTGGGCTAAGAGCCAGGGATGCAATTTTCTCCCTGCCCCTAGTTCATTTGGCTTTTCCCCATCAGCAGCTCTCTACCTAGCCAAATATTTCCTATTCGGGTGGGTTGCAGCTGTCTAACACATGATATAAATAAGAACCACTAGAGTTGCTTCTATTCTTAGCATTTTAATATGGATGCAAAGGTCACCAACAGTCTTCATTTGCTAGCTTAGTGAGTCTGCTTCTTTACATCTCTTATTTTCCTCCAAAATGTATACTTTTTGTTCAAAGGAATTAAAATAAGATTTTTGGGTGAAAGGACACCCCAAACATTTACTTCCTTTTGGCTGGACTCCTAATTGTCATGGATTGGGTGATCTATCCATCCTCTGGCATGCAAAGTCATGTGCAGAGTTTGGGAAACTGCACTCCAGGCTTGGACTAAAGCCACCTCCTTTTCTTTCTTAAGTATAGAGAGGTTTAGAGTAGCAAAGAGCTACTCTCATTTAACCCTCCAAGTACATAGTTGAGGTCACTAAGGCCCAGAGAGGCAGACTTGCTTATTACTATCTAACTTGAATTGTATACATCACTGTAGCTCATATCCATGGAATGTTTTCCTGTGCTAAGCACTTCTCATGGATTTCTTCATTTAACCCTCACAGATGACAAAAGTGAAGTACAATAGTTTGAGAAATGTCCAGATTCACAGACTGGCAATGGTAGAGCCAGGACAGACACTCAGGAGAGAACCTGAGTCCAGTTCTTCCACTCTTTCCAGAATCAGTGTACATGTTCCACATGAGGATAAAAGAAAGAAAGAAGAAAGGAAGGAAGATCTGAGTGGAACACACATACTGTGTGTCTCTCTCTCTCTTCCCCCTCCCCCCACCTTTTTTGTTATTCTTTGGGAACCATGGAGTGTTTTTAGATCCCGAGCACAACCTGGCAAAAGTCCCTCTTACTCAGAGGCCAAGTTGCTGCTGAGACACGGAGCAGTTTCCACTCTCCTTACCTGTTCTCAGGGTCAGCCAAGACCATGCTCCGAGTGACATAGCACATTTTGAGGGGGATACTTTTCCGGTCTCTATGGAAGGAGAGGGATTGTGATGACAGAGGTTCTGATGAGCTGCTCCCTAACCGAGGGGATTCAGGCGGAGGTGTCTCCCATCCTATCTCAGATACTGGGGATCCTTTCTTCACATAAGGTGTGGCTTCTCTCATGTACTTCACTACAAGCAAAAAGACAATAAAAAATGCTGTTAAGTACATCAAGGCTGAGTTTCTGGAAAGTCTGACTATGTGTATGAAAACAACTTGCATTGGATGAGTTCGTAAAACAAAACCTCTTAAATTCAGAACAAGATTCAGAATTACTGTTCCTCTCAACATAGAGTTATCGCATTACTAATATTATATGCCAGTGTGGATCTCAGAACTTGCTATCACAGTGCCCTGCAGTTGAGAATGTTTCTAGCTTTTTGCAGCTGTGCTAATGTCTATCTTTTTCTGATTATAAGTCACAGTCTGGGAAAAAGGCTGAAACCAAATGGACAGAGAGTTAGGAAGCACAACTTGGGCTAAAAGTCTTATTATTTAATGTTCATGCAAGTAACCCAGTGAACTCATTCACTGTCCATGCTGCCATTTTTGTTGTTGTAGTTCAGATGCAAGGGTAGGGTTTTCAATTTAATAGTATTAAGAGCATGTATGCAAAGAAATACATGTGAAAATATATATTATAGTGGAAAAATTTTGGAGTAGCACAAACATTGTCAGAAGAGAAAACTAAAAAAAATGATAGTATAAATAAATTGTAAGACATTCCCACAGTCATTGAAAAGTGAGACAGATAAATGTGTTGGTGTGATAAGACACACACAATCTACTATTAGTGGAAACATAAATAGACAACAGTCTCTATACCATAATACCTTTGTGTATAAAACCATAAACACATATGCTTGTGTCCAATTATTTTGACATATAGGCACAAAAAAGCATTGACAATAGTTGCTCTGAGGAATGGAAATAAAGGCCGAGAGGATGAAGAAATCAGCCTTCCCTATACATTTACTACCCTTTTCTGGCATTTTCATTTTTAATAATATGCATATACTACTTTTATAAAATAAAAAAAAATAACTTAAGACTCAAGCAGAGCACTCTGAAGTTCTGCTCTTTGATATGTTTGCCTTAGTATTAAGAAAGTATTTGCCAGTTCTGAATTTAAACCTTTGGTCCTTTTGAGTTAACAGGGGAACCTGATTCTTGGAACAGGCAGTATAAACTTCTGTATCCTTCTATTTATTACTCACACTCTGGTACCCTGCTGTATGGGGGAATGTAGCTAAACCTCTTAGAGATCTCTTTTATTACAAATGGCCGTGGCTTGGAATGAATGCAAACTAGATCTTTGATGAATCAGTTCACAAACCAGTGCCTTTGCTTTGCAAGATGTAGAGCAAGACTTCAGAGAACAATACGTGGTTTCCACACGCACGAGTTGCAACATCAAGAATGACTGTAGTACGTGCCCTGGTATCTTATCTGCATCCCTTTTACTATATCCCAGTTGCTGTGCATTGACTGAAAACAGCTCTTAGCTGCTCCCCTGCTCCATAGAATTAATTGCTCTTGGCCAAACAGAGGCTGCAGAGCCTAGGAGGCTGCGGAGTTGTTGCCTAACCCCCAAGCAGAATTTCTGCTTCAAGGAAAGTCCACCTATGATAGAACCCAAGATTAATATGCAAACTATGGTACAAATAGAGCTAAATCTCATAGTAGGAATAAAGTATCTTCAAAAAACCAAGGGGGGGAAAATGAATCAAATAGCATAAAGACAGATTAGGTTTACAACACTTAGCAACCAAATCAGATACACTCAGATGTATGTAGTGTGAGTCCCATGAGGATTCAGTCCCAAGTATCAAAAACAGCCATGTTAATAAAAGACAGAGGGGCTGCCCTTTAGCACTAACATATTTTTAAAAAAAGATTTCAGGGTTTTAAAAATATAAGCACCATTAAGAGAACTGCTGGCCTCTATTGCGGCTACAAACCCGTTAGCAGAGTTTTCAGTTACAGGAGAAAGATGACTCACAAGCAGTGTATTTTAAGAAATATTGTTATTTCTGGGGACTGTATTTAAAGAGGAGCATGTATGTACCTAAGAACAAATTCAAAAAATTTGGGGGGACTGACTTAAGTTGTACAAAGCTGAAATCAATAGACTTCTTTTAAAGATACTTCCTTTTTTAATCTTTAAAACTGTCAGTGGGGCTTGGGGTGTAGTTTAAGCAGTAGCGTGCCTGCTAGGTAAGTTTAAAATCCTGACTCAAAGCTCAGTACCATCAAAACAAGTTAGCTGTACGTATTGCAGATTTCTGTTTACTAATACACAGGAAAGTCAAGCATCAGCTGGTATGGTTTGAAGATTTTCCTTTGATTGCATTATTATCCTTCTGGCTGAAGTACAAGGTGAGTGTTTTGGGAGGTAGAATCAGGAATGTTTCTTGGAATAAGGTGGCATTCAAACTTGACTTTAAAGGGTAGCTAGAACTTCAAAAGGTAGGAATAAGAACAACAATCTTTTTATGTAAGGTACTCAGATTAATAATTTTGATTGCAATTTCATAGAAAAGAAAAAAAGAAGAGGGATAAAGAAGGAACACTTGTGATAAACTTAATCTTGTGTCAACCAGTGAATCAGATTCTTCATTTATCTTTACATTCTCATATTTAAGCTTCATAATTCCCACTTCAGAACCCACTTTATATATGATAAGGTCTAGAGAAGAAATACTAATGTATCTTTCATTTATTGTTTATGTGCACATAAGCAATACAAGAATAAAAATATATTGTTATTCTTTTCAGAAATGTTTTGTAGGGCTACTCTAATTCTTCTGAACACTAGCAGCTTTCCATAGGTTGTTCTTGAAGGTTTAATATTATTGTATACATCAGCATACTGATGCATGGAAGTTTGTCTTACATGGAGTCACATGGTTAGTTATGGCGCAGTTGTAGTTGATTAACCAGAGACCTACCTTTCATGAAATCTAGATATTCCACTTAGATGAAGGATGCACAATGATAGGCTCATAGGTTTGAACTTTATATTCTATAGACAGTGGTGATAATAATGTAGTCTATAAGCAAGATAGTAGCAGAATCAATGGTCAGCTTTAGAGAGAACTCCTGGAAAATGAAATTGGATATATCTAAAGAAAAAGATATTAGGAGTACATCAACCAGTTCTGGATCCACAGAGTATTACAGGAGAGATAACCTAAGCAATGCTCTAGATATCATTTTAGATTTGAGGGATCAAAAAAATGTGTGGTTTGATCCACTCATGGACAGAGCAGGATATCAAAGATTTTAGCCTGGAAGCAAATATTTACCAAGAAACTACTTGCTATTTGGCACAAAACTAGGGAAATGTATGTAAGAGAGATGGCATAGCAAGGCCTTGAAGAAAGTACACCTCATTAGGAATAATATTCAATGGAGAGTATTCCTTTTAACTGACCAATTGATGACAAAGACAGAATAAATTAACAAAGCAGGTAGGTGCTAAAATCTGAAGAGTCATTCATTCAGCCAAAATGTTTCAGTCAATTTTATGTGTGAAGGACTGTGCTGCTCATGAGAGATAAGAAATAGTCCCTGATTTAAATGAAATTTAAGCCTAGAATGGGAGAAAAGAAAGTAGGTGACATGAGTGCTTGTATTAAATCTTAAAATTGATTTGAGGCGATCCTAAACTCCACAGATCTCCAGTGGCCTCCCAGAATTAAATGCAAATCCTTTCTGGAGGAAGGCAATTTCATTCTAGGCTTCAATTAATTCTTATGAATCATTTTTAAGAGCCATGAGTTGGCATAAAAATCAAAGAAAATGTGCACAAGGAAACAAGGTACCATGAACGAGAACTAGCACAAGCAACTGATGGCAGTAACACTTGCAAAGCCACAAACAAACAAAAGCCTGAGAGAATTTTCCAGAGATTATTTTTTTTAAGTAGCTTAACTTCTTAGTAAAACAAAAACAACAGAATATTATGTAATTCTATTACCAGTTAAAACTTCAACAGAGAGACACATCAGAAGGACTTTCTGAACTGTAGATAAGAAATTTTACAGAATGTATCACAAACATTCAAAAAGATGGCAAATATGAAATAGAGGTTAAGAGATGAAAAGAATGAAGTAAAAAAGTCTAACATACGTCTAACTATAATTGTAAAGAAGTAGAGTAGATAGAATAGGGCAGATTTGAAAAAATTATAATCACAAGAAACCTAGCTTGGTTTGCTGAACAACACCTATGAGCTTCACCATCAAGACAAATAGAAATAAGGTACCCTTTATTCTTTGTACTTTGAGTAGACTAACATTGTACTTGAAACCTATGTTTCTTTTGAGATCTTTATATACCACCTCTGAATTTTACTAGTGTTGTGAGGAAGACTCAGTAAAATCCCTCAATGAGTCAGGAGAACTCTGGCAGAAAACATGTTTTCCATTTCAAAGAAATAAAGTTAGGCAAAGAGGTTGTCATCACTGTTCCTAAGCAAGACAGCTGGGGTCGTGGGACTTGTTTCCTTGTGTTCTGAGTAAGAATAAGTAACAGGATACACATCCCTGTTTAAGATCCCTTTATTCAGGGGCCCTGCTTTCTTTTTTTGATAGGTATTGAAAATGGAGAAACTTGTTCTTGTGTGTAACAAAGAAAGGAAATAAAATTGCCATTGGATTTCTCCAAGGGTCCATGATTTCTGGTCCAGAGGAAGTAATGAGACTACCAGAATGTCACTCCTTGCTGGAAGAGACTCCATGCAATTTCCATAAGACTTGCCTGTCAGCTATAAGCAATTTTGAGGTCAGACACTTTGAGTCCTCTCCAATTCTTGATTGAGGCCAGAGGCTAAGTAACCTCAAGCAGAGAATGAGAAGATGTAACCATGTTTTGGGTGGTAAAGAGGTCCCTGTAGTATGAAAAAAAGAGTTCGTGAAACCTTACCCTGGTTCTTTGTGACAATGTCCTGAAAGTTCTACATGTTGCAGTCAAAATACTGAGTATTGCCTAACATAGGGAAAGGAAGGTGTTACCTAAGACTGGATTTATTTTCAATAGGGAATGCAAATTTACTGTATGAAATAGCATAAAGGTGTGTTACTCATTTGCCAAATGTCTAGGGTGAAAGAAAAAGACTGCTAGGAGA